TTCAACGTTTATCTCGAATATTTACTCTATATTCTCATTCCACACATACAAGTTAGCATCCAGATTTACAGTTCAACGTTTATCTCGAATATTTACTCTATATTCTCATTCCACACATACAAGTTAGCATCCAGATTTACAGTTCAACGTTTATCTCGAATATTTACTCTATATTCTCATTCCACACATACAAGTTAGCATCCAGATTTACAGTTCAACGTTTATCTCGAATATTTACTCTATATTCTCATTCCACACATACAGCTTAGCATCCAGATTTACAGTCGAACCTTTGTCGGAGTGATCTTTCCAATATTTTCCTTTCACACATTCAGCACAGAATCCAGATTTGCGCACAGCCTGAGCTACTTACCCTACATTCTCCTTCCACACATACAGCTGAAAACCTAGGTTTACAGGCCACACCATCAGGTAACTTCGTTGATAACACCAGGAATATCTCCGTTTTTTGAGGCATACAGTAAACTCTACAACGGGAGAGAGCTGCAATCCAAAGAACACACTTTAAAGGTACAGAACTAAACTCTGTTATCAATATCATACTCTACATTCATAACGATGTGGTTTAATTTGATGAGTCTAGAATATAAAAAATAACGCATAAAAAAAAGAGTTAAAATGTAAACTTACAGATTATAATGATATCACTCAGGAAAAACGCGTTAAAACAAAGATACTTGGGTGTTTACGCCTCACATTTTTTCCCTCTTCTTATCGCAAAATGAATGCATAGGCACAAATTCAAAGCACAACACTCTAAAGAAAAAACACGAAATCACTAAGCAAATACCTCCGAGGTCTTTCTCGTACGGTTTCCAGAGAAACCGATTGCCTCTAAAGGTCTTGTTGTTGAACGTTTCACACTGTTCCATCCGTATATCAGTGTTGGCATGGTGACAAAGCTGAAATGGAGAATGAAATTTACAGTATTTTTTTTACTTATTGCAGATATACAGATTTAAGAATAAATAAAGACATTCGTACTCAGTAAAAGCACAAATACATGACGTACAGAAGAAGAACTCACGAATTAAAAATAACGTTGTAATTGTAAACTAGCGAACGAGACACAAAATCTGTGATTCCAGTTATTGGTATTATTACGTCTAAAATTAGTAAACACACGCAAAAAATCATCTATGTAAGAAAATTTAAATCTCATGTCCGTGAAGGATTATTATCACAGTATATGTAAATTCGATTTTCAGTTCTTGTTATTAAAGCAAATAGATACGTTGACCGTTTTACATAAGGTATACGTTGATCTGTGACTTGAAATACTGTTAAACAAACAAACAACAACACAATTACACTGACGTTAGTGGGTTTCCTGGAAAAAAACTTTAGTTGAAACTATTAAACCTTAAGTTAAGCAATGTTGCAGAAATTCATGATACACTTACCTCGGTATTGCATATCTTATAGACTCGAGTTTGTCCTTCACAGTCCTTACCGCCATTTCGAGGGCTGCAATGTAATTCAAGTTAAAGATCAGAATATCAAATCAAAATATTTTGTATATTAGTAAATGTAAACTTATGTAATAAGGAACCGAGTGAGTTCTATAGATGATTGATGTTTATGAGATCAGTTTTTTTCCTTCTGTCTAACCAACTCAAAATCATTTGTTTGAAACTACTATCCCGTAAGCTTTCTCTATACTTCCTAGATTTTTCAGTGATAAGTTGGTATACTTTTATTTTTATAAAGGCTGCTCCCAGTGGCACAGCGGTATGTCTGCGGACGTACAACGTTAAAGACCGGGTTTCGATACCCGTGGTGAGCAGAGCACAGATAGCCCATTGTGTAGCTTTGTGTATAACTACAAACAAACAAACTATATAGGCTATGTACTAAAATATAAACTAATTATGAAGTACAGTTACGAAGATATTCAGTACGCGTGTAATATCCAAGATTACAGTGTTAATTATTAATATTTATCAGCAAAGTTTGCTTTTGCTCATGTAATTCCGCTTCAATACTAATGTCAAGTATTATTTTTGTTCTTACAAGGTGTTATACATTCACGATCTGCTGTGTTTAGATGTGATATCATACTTTATAACACCTTATACCACAACAGTAAACACTGAACGTGTATTGTTTTGCAAGAAATATTTTTAAGTTCATACTAAATTATAATTTTTGATACAATGGTTACTGACCATTAACGAAAAACATAAAAGTTCCTTAAAAATTCTGTAGAGGGCCGGGCTGCAAATTTTCAAAAATGTATAAGAAATAAGAGTGAAAATATAATGAAATAGAAGATTAGTTGAGGGGTGGAGGCTTGCGCCATCTATAAAAGTATCTTCTGGTAAAATTTAAATTAAAACCAATAATTTTATGTTATTTCTAATCTATCGATTTATAATTGTAACTTTTTCAGAAGTAAGAATGTCTTACGCATAAAAAATAATTATTCGCAAAAAACAATAACGTTTATCATTTCAAATAAGATGGCTCATATTATAAATCAAAATACTGGCGATGAGATACAATATTACATTAGTAAAATATAAAATAATGTCCATAACTTCTCATGGTTTAAAATGGCAGTAATGACTACCCCTAAAATAATAGTTTAAAATGGTTGTAATGACTACCCCTAAAATAATAGTTTAAAATGGTTGTAATGACTACCCCTAAGATAATAGTTTAAAATGGTTGTAAGGACTACCCCTAAAATAATAGTTTAAAATGGTTGTAATGACTACCCCTAAGATAATAGTTTAAAATGGTTGTAAGGACTACACCTAAAATAATAGTTTAAAATGGTTGTAATGACTACCCCTTTAAAATAATAGTTTAAAATGGTTGTAATGACTACCCCTAAAATAATAGTTTAAAATGGTTGTGATGACTACCCCTAAAATAATAGTTTAAAATGGCAGTAATGACTACCCCCTAAAATAATAGTTTAAAATGGCAGTAATGAAAGACTGAATTGCTATACTACCATGTAAAATAATAATCACAACTACTCATAATTTACTTACAATCACAATTTCTTAAAAGAGTAGGGGGTAAGAAGTAGGAGAAAAACATCGAGGGTGTCGAGGTTTGGAAATAATAAGTGGTCTTCTCTCAGGCTCAAACTTCAGATCTGGTTGTTTTTTATCACAAGGTAAGACATCAATATTGACTTTTGAAGAATTGTTGCCCAACAAACCTTTACAAGCGGTGCTTTAACCCACATTATGAGACATCGGTGTTTACCAGCCGAATATCACGACACAATAATCAATATTGACTTTCAGGAATTGTTGCCCAATAAACCTTTACAAGCTGTGCTTTAACCCACATTATGAGACATCGGTGTTTATCAGCCGAATATCACGACACAATAATCAATATTGACTTTTCAAAAATTGTTGCCCAACAAACCTTTACAAGCTGTGCTTTAACCCACATTATGAGGCATCGGTGTTTACCAGTCGAATATCACGACACAATAATCAATATTGACTTTTCAAAAATTGTTGCCCAATAAGCCTATACAAGCTGTGCTTTAACCCACATTATGAGACATCGGTGTTTACCAGTCGAATATCACCACACAATAATCAATATTAACTTTCAGGAATTGTTGCCCAACAAACCTTTACAAGTTGTGCTTTAACCTACATTATGAGACATCGGTGTTTACCAGTCGAATATCACCACACGGTAAGTCCTTACAGGCTATATAAGACATCCATATATATTTAGTTACCACGGATTGCCACACAACAGATTTTACAGGTAAATGTCGTAATATAGAATAACACACACTTACCATTTATTGATATGTTTAATAGGTAAATACTTAATACACATTATATAAAACAGTGTACACATATCATGTATTGTTACATAACAGGTATTTCTAATTTATGCTTTAAGACGTTATCAAAATACACGTTATATAAAACAGTGTACACATATCATGTATTGTTACATAACAGGTATTTCTAATTTATGCTTTAAGACGTTATTAAAATACACGTTATATAACTTAATATACGTTATATAAAACAGTGTACACATATCATGTATTGTTACATAACAGGTATTTCTATGTTATGCTTTAAGACGTTATTAAAATACACGTTATATAACTTAATACACGTTATATAAAACAGTGTACACATATCATGTATTGTTACATAACAGGTATTTCTAATTTATGCTTTAAGACGTTATTAAAAACTGATGTACACTGACCGTGGATTGTTACACTTTCGTTCTTTGTATGCTATACCACCATCACAAGACTTGGAACAGGATGTCCAGTCAGAAAAAGCACCCCATCCACCATTCACAGGTTTAGGGCCTTCCTCGTTCTTCTCAACACATTTCCCTCGACGACACCACTAAGGTGGTACCCCCGAAAAGAAGAGAAAAAATAAAAGAAACCCGCAAAAATACTTTAAAATTACAAAGGTAATGAGAAGCTTGACTTATAACATATTTAAGCTATACATTTGTGTAGCATTTTTACTAACAATACGTCTCATTTTTAACAAGATATAACCTAACTATTTGTAGAACATTTTTACAAACGCCATGTTTGATTATTAACAAGATATAATCTACTTGTATAACGTTTTTAAGACCCACATTCGTAACGAATAGCTTATTAGTAATATTCAACAGATTCAATTTTTATGTAGAATCTTACCTTTTATAATCTGAGCAGATATCATTCTACGGCTATGTTTACAAAATTGTAAATAATCTGTCGGCCTTTACTTTGAATAACGTGAGCGACTACCACTTGCTATGTTTTTTTATTAACAATGGTACACTACATAACCAGAATGAAATATTGAATAACGACATTATGAATTCATCACACAATATTCGCTCAGAGACTGTAAACTTTTCCACATTTGGTAAGGTGTACTTTGAAGTACTTACATATAGAGATGATTTCTTCTTAATTTATATAACAAGCTAATGTTGTTTGACCCTTTGATATAGTAACTATAAGTTCAACAATTTATTGCTTAAAATCTTACTTTTTCAAAAATAACCATTGAAAAACGGTATATTATGAACGTCACAAAATGACAGTGTAATATTTAATTGTTTTTTTGTATATATATATATATATTCAATAATTTTGTCTGACTGTACCAATGAAATAAGAAAAATACTGAAATATTGCGTATTATAATTTACATTTCGCGTTCTCAGGTCCTTTACGGTAAACCGATATACAGTTATTACCATATTATTCCCGCATGGAGTTCCTTCTGCCGCCGGCATGAATTTTGTAACACACTCGCGTCCTCGTCTGTGGCACCATAGAGATTTACAGATGTCGTGTTTCATTAAAACTTTACCCTGAAGGTAAGAGAACAAAACTTGTCTGATTAATTACAATTAGTTTATAAACAACAACAAAAAATCAACTTTATATGTACATATACATAAATTATAGTAACAAAAAGAGTGTTATGTACTGTTGACCTTTAAAAGTATTAACATCGACAAGGATCTGGCATAACTTGATGGTTAGGGCACTTGATTCACACATCGCGGAATCGAACCCCGTCACCGAACATAGTTGCCTTTACAGCTGGTAGGCCGTTATAATGTGACTGTCAATCTCACTATTCGTTGGCAAAGAGTAACCCAAGATTTGGCGGGAGGTGCTATTGACTAACTACCCTTTCTCTAGTTTAACACTTCAAAATGAAGGACCGGTTGAAATTGAACAAAAAAATCAACAAATATGTCTAGGTGCGTACAGTACGTAAATAAATTTGCTTCATATAATTGTTCTTGAAACAGACAAGATTAAAAAAAAGGTCAAAATGTCATTTTGAAAGGTAAAGTACAACTTGATAAGTATATTTCTAACAGTTCTTGAGTGATTTTGCTGTCAGGACAACCACTGCTATAGTAGTTAGTGTTTGATGAAAAGTCCTTGTTCAAAGCACTATTGGCCCGGCATGGCCAGATGGTTAGGGCGCTCGACTCGCAATCTGCGGGTCGCGGGTTCGAATCCCCGTCACATCAAACATGCTCGCTCCTTTCAGCCGTGGGGGCGTTATAACGTGACGGT